CAGAATCTTCCAGCAAGTATAGAAATCACTATATAAAATTTGTTATAAATTACTTATGATAATGAATTTACTAATATCTCAGTAGTTAATTGATACAATAAATGATTCAGTTTTAAATGACAAATTCAACGCAGACAGTAGTGATCAGTTTATAAATATGTTCTCCCTATAGAATAGAAGTGGTTTATTGCCAAAAAATGTCTAATGTTTTGAATTAGAATTAAAAATGTAAAATACTAATTTAATGTATTTCAGTAATGGGGTCTTCATTCTCCAACTATGTTGTAAGTACTGTACGAGTTACATGGACGGAAGCGTTTGTCTTATGCAAACAGAGTGGAATGGAGTTAGTCTCAATAAAAACCGCTGAAGAACATGATGCAATAGCACAGGCTTTGTCTCATTATTCTACGAAAAGTAAGTTACGTACAGAATAAGACCGATAATAAAATGACGTTCATTTACGTATTATTGGAAATAAAAATTGAAGGAATATGCATGTGCTATTCGGAAATTTGATATGGATTGATCATATACTGATTTCATTAACATGCTGTTTCTCTAGCAATTTTTTTGCAGCATTTTTCAAAGTTTGAAGATCACATTTGAATTGATTAAATTGTGGAATTATTCTCAATTTTGGTCCATAAAGGTAATATGAGTATTTCTGATAAAATACGATTTAATTAGTGATGGAAATAAATAGAATTAAATACATAGAAATACAGAATTACAGACAAAAATAACTTACTTCGATTAATTTTAAACATATTTAGAATTGTACAACACGATAGTAGTTTTCACTTTTGCGTAGACGAAAAAACAATATAAGACGCTTATTGGTATCAAAGATAGATGTAATACGAGGCACGATTTTTAGTGATTAAACACAATTCGATTTAAAAATTATAGCGGATAGAAATGTTTAGTGAAAATTTGGTATCAAAAGGAAATATTATGTAAGTATTAACTTGGAATTACAATAAAAAGTATATAGATTCTTACGGTTGGAAAAAAATGGATTAAACAAAAGTGTCTGTATTCGACATTCCTATTTAAATTGTTTATATTTTTCATCCCAATAAAATGAGCACACTTGTTTCAAATATCCATAACTATTCATAAAAACTAGTTTCAGCGTCGTTCCGATATGGAATCCGAATTGGGATTGCCACAACTACATTGAATTCGATTAAATAATCCGAATTATTATTTTGGTTATTACAGGCAAAATGTTAATGTTTTTATCAAAATTGTCACAGAATGGTATCAATAACATCCTTACAAATAGCTTTTGTATAGATGACGTCCCGGAAAATGTGGACATAGTTTCCAATTAATATACACGGTATCAAAATAACAGAACACAATTATATTAAAAAATGATACAGCCTCTTCCTAACAAGATATAATTTTCCAAAAGGAGCCAGTAAATATGGATTTTTATTAAATATAAATACTTTAAAGTACTTTTGTAATACTAAAATAATCTACTATGATTATTTTTGATTTTGTTTGTTCCAATTAGTTACTTTAAATAATAAACACATCCAAACAAGGGAAGACTGGTGGCTTAGACCCTCGTTCTCACGACTTATTTTCATTGGATTTTTATCTCTGAGGACACTTGAAGATTTTATTTTTTCTTCTGCTGTATAAACCAGAGAGGAAATGTTGTGCAAATTATTATGCAATCCTCAATCAGGGCCGAGCAAGAATATATCAGACAAAAGAAGACCATGTTGAACCAACTTATCAAGTTTTATATTAAACGGTTAAACTATCGATTTCCAAAAAGCTAAATCTAGTCACTCGCCTTCTTTAAAAAATTATTCGTTGCGATTTCTGAAAAATATTTTTGTTTTTAGTTTTAACTTCAGATTCAAATTCAAAATTATATCTTTTGTGTCTTTACCATAGACGGTTATTAAAATTTGAGTGTTATATGTGCAAAGCCTGCCGAACTCAAAAATCAAAATTAGTTTCAACGATACTATTTTAACGGGCATTAACTAATATTTGCAGCACTTTAACACTTATTTAATAAAAAGCAATTTGCGGCGACGTCTTTTAAGAGCGAGCTCATTTATTGGTATGAAAGGTCTGTTGAGAATTGTTTGTAGAAACTTCTCCTGTTGTTTTGACAGCCTGTATTTCGTCGTCACTTTACTGCTATTCTTCGTCTGTGTTCTTCATACAATTTCTTGATTCAGAGGGTGTTGCAAACGGATATTGGATTTCTGCTAGACGCTTCACTGGAAATTCCATTGTATGGTTTAATAGCGGCAAGCCACTGATCTACACCAACTTTGCAGACGGTCAACCGGACAATGCGGGAAATGACGAAGAATGTGTGGAATTCTTTATGCCGTTGGAGAAATCTTATAAATGGAATGATATAAATTGTGGTCATAAAGCTGGTTATATTTGTCAAGTACGAAATGAATGTGACTAAATGTAGGGACTAGGAAAGCACAACTTCAATCTTTGTATTCTAATTATGTGCAATCCATCAAATTCTCAAATATTACATGTGGCATTTACTTTTCATTATTTTTCGGCCTACCGCCTCGTCGTGCAAATATTCACATGCGTGCGTTAATAATATTCATATCCTACGGGTGTCACATGGTTTGTATGACTAAACTGTCCGTAACAAATCTGAAGGGACTAATAAAATACCAATAGCGGTCCTCGACTTTCGTAACACTAACGACTAGACTGAGTACTTCAATAACTGATCCAAAGTATCGAGTATTGAATCCAAAAGTAACTAGCCGGTATTCAAAAAGTACGAGTATTCAAAAGTAATCAAATCTCACACTCCTATTAGGTACTAATTTACAAATATATTTCCTCCGGCTTCTTCAGCCGCTAAGTATGTTGTAATCAAAGTACCGGTTACATGGAAAGAAGCTTTCGTCCTACAAACGGCATGGACTTGGTGCCAATAAATACGCTGAAGAACAAGATGTTGTAACCAAATCTTTGGGTTCCTCTACCACGCAAAGTTACCTACATAGTGTGTAAAATAATAATTTCAACAACTAAAACAATTCGTTCGATTGTTCCTATAACCTATCCTATAAACTATATCCTTAATTCTAATTTGTATTGTTTTGTAATTGTTAATATGCCGCTTTTCTTCGTCTGCGTTTTACATATAGTTTTCTGATTCAGGTGATGGTGGAATTGCATATTACTTTGGCTCCTTATCCCACGTTAGGTTAGTTACCTGCATAGTGTATAATCTAGTAATTTTAATAATAAAAACAATGCATTCGATTGTTTCCATCAACCGAATTTGTATTGTATTGTAATCGGTAATAGGCGGCTCTCTTCGTCTGAGTTATACATAAACTTTCTTGGTGAAGAGGGTGTTAATAAAGGATATTGGACTGCTGCCATGCACTTCGGTACAAATTCCTTTGTATGGTTTACTGGTGGCCAACCACTGGTCTTCACTAATTTTGCAGATAAACAACCAGACAATTTGGGAAACAAAGAAGATTGTGGTTCGAAAAATACTTATAAATGGAATGATATACCTTTGTAGTTATGAAGCTGGTTAAGTACGCAACCTACTTTGCTAAATATAGCTAAGTGCTATGAAGAACAATCTATTCATGTATATATGAAAGACACCAGTTTCTTCAAATATATACAGGGTGATTCAAAATTGGCGTAATTCCTTTTAAGAGGTAATAAGAACTCACTTGGAGAGTAGACGAGAAATAATGAGATTGTTTTTCCAACATTTCTAGAGATATTAACAGTTGAAAATCGAATGTCAACTTTGTTATTACGTATTATTTTAAATGGTCCCATCTTTGATTCGTAGCCTATTGGAATACTTAATCGTATGTAAAGAAAAACTACGGTCTTTCTTTCAAATTACAAAAAAGTTTTATATTAAAAAATTATGTTTGATGTTTTTGGTCATTAATGCATAGTTACAGGTAGAGAGCCTTTGTCAATAAGAACAATAATTTGTCAAACTGTGACTTACTTTGCAGCTCCTTTCACAGAATGTATACCAACATCGAATTTGCGATTAATTATGGGGAAATGCCACAATAACATAGCAGAAGCTGTAAGAACTTACGCCAAAAAAGGTCCAGAGACACTGGAATATTGACTCCAGGACGACAATAGATGTTCGGGTTCTAGACACATAGGAACAGGTATTGGAGATAAGTGCAGCAGAGTCTTCCAAGGGTACTCGAAAGCATTGCCCATCAACTAACAGTTTTCCATGCACCAAATAAATACTGAGAAAGGGCTAAAGTCCGACCACGTATGTAAGATACACAGGACACAAGGACACATTAAACCAATGGTTTACTGAGCACTGGTACAAACTGAGCAGAAGTTAATTAACCGAATACGAGAAGCTGCTCGGGAAGAGTGCACTATAAGGTGAATAGACCGGCATTAACTTATTTGGAGTTAAAGCCTCAAATGTATGTTTATTTGTATACATATCAATTCGAGATTATGAAGATAATAAAGAACAATATCTCCTTGTCGGTAGGTATTTACGTAATATTAATTCGGCAGATTACCTTAAGAAATATTGTTGCCGTCTTTCTAATATAGTTTTTTGCAAATTTCTCAGTTATTAATAACATTTTTTTACAATTTTTTCTGTACTCCTAAAACACCCCCAGACAACACCTCCAGAGAATGACGCCAATTTTGATCACCCTGTTTTTATTAACTTTGATCAGACATGCCATGTGATTTGGTTCTACGACCCGGTAAAAAAATTGATCCATCACAATCACATGTTGCCCAGAATTTAAGAAACTCCATTCAATTATGTTAAGGATTGTGTAATTGTTATTGGTCAAATCTTATAAATTCTCACATTGTACGGTTACGTCACTATCTTCGATTTAATTTTTAATGACAAGTTTAGTTCAAGCATGCTTTATTGAGACATACGTTCATTTTCAAATACTTTTTGACCTTTAGGCCCGTATATATCTGCTAATTCTAATCTCAAATAATTTCAGTTCACAATAATGCATTCGATTAATGCATTTCCTGCTTTATTATTATTCATTTCTAGCATCGAATCTATTGCTACACTTGCTACAATGCCAGGTGAGTACAATCACATTGATAGAAGCTGCTAAACGTGGTGTTAGATCCATATTTATATTAGATACTCTCTAGGTTTCAAAATGTAAAAAAACGTTAAAAATAAACAAACAAACAAAACATGAATTGTTCAAGAAGCCAAGACACTCTGTAGTTTATAAATAGCTTAACAAACAAAGAATGGTTTAATGATCTCGATATGTAAATATAGTGTATATTTTGCTGTCAATTAACATATATGGAGTATACAGGGTTATCGAGAACATACAATCAAGCATTTTTGTAGGATACAAATAATGTCCTTACTAACATCCTACACTAAAAAAATATTAGCATTACTTTCCAAATTAGTCGAACGTTCATCCTTTTCATTTTAAATTGCAAATTGAACTACTTTAAATATGGTAAGTAAAGATTTGCTCTCGCATAGACTAGGAGAAGTTGCTTAATGCCTTACCATTCCAAATACATTTTCTAAAAAATGTTAGGTACTAATTTACCAATATAATTTGACAGTGCGTCCTGCATACTCTAACTATGTTGTAAGCAAACAAGCTGTTACATGGAAAGAAGCTTTTGTGCTATGCAAACAAAACGGAATGGACTTAGTTTCGATAAAAAATGCTGAAGAACATGATGCTGTAGCTGAAGCTTTGGCTCCTTATCCCACGATAGGTTAGTTACCTGCATAATGTGTCAGCTAATAATTTCAATGACAGAAACATGTATTCAAATGCTCCCATAAACCGAATTTGTATTGTATTGTAATCGGTAATAGGCGGCTCTCATCGTCTGAGTCAATAAGCCTTGTTCTATGGTCTGAGTTATACATAAAATTTCTTGGTGCAGAAGGTGTTAATAAAGGATATTGGACAGCTGCCATGCGCTTCGGTACAAATTCCTTTGTATGGTTAACTGATGGCCAACCCATGGTCTACACTAACTTTGAAGATGGACAACCAGACAATTTTAAAGGAATGGAAGAGTGTGTGGAATATTTTAAGACGAAAAATAAATATAGATGGAATGATATACCTTGTGGTTATAAAGTTGGTTATATTTGTCAAATACGCAATGTTCTTTGCTAAATATAAGTGCTATGAATCGGCCATTTATACCTGTATATGTGCAGTACACCAGTTTTTCAAATATGTTTTGCTCACTAGCTGACTATTTTAAGAAAACAAGATTTAATGTTTTAAAAATATTTTTTGGCGTGAGCAATAATGCGGAGGTCTAATACGCCATCGACCGTGAATCGCCCTGTATACCTAGGTCTAAAAGTGAGCTATTATATACTGAGTGATTTTATATAATATAATGTTTTTTTGCTAACACGGATAATTGCCTAAATCGATTTAATTAGAGTTTGAATTTTCCATTTATTTTCTGGATTATCGCATTATTTTATAGCAATTCAGTTTTCGAACTGCCGCAATATAATTTATGGAGTTCTGTTTTCTTCATAATATGGGTCATAGTAATCTTCTATTTCATCTGGGTCAATGAAGGTTTCAGGGTCATTAAAATCAGCTTTGATATTCATTAGTCGGAAACTGATTATTAGGATCATGGAAATTCATTCCGTTACTTTCAACGTTTTGTTGATGTAATTCTGTAAAAGTTGGTTTTTTGAATTTAGATAAACCTGAGGAAGTATCCATTGGTTCGTCAAGTCTACCATGATTTTCTTGGGGCTGTTCCGGATATACAAAGCGATTTGGATTATTCATGAATGTGTTTCTGAATAGTTGGCTTTGTCTTGGTTGAAATAGTGGTGATCTGAATTGAAAGTTGGGGTTGAATGGCTTAGGGAAGTTGAAATTGTTGTTGTTTTGTTGTTTGAACGGGTTTGTAAGATTGGATATTTGGTTATGTGCAGTACACCCGTTTTTCAAATATATTGCATTTACTTTTTCATTATTATTTTGTTTGAGTTTGTCTAGTGTTGCGAGTAATTTCGGTGTGCTGCCTAACATTGAGCCAGAAAGCATGCAGTTTTGCTCACTAACTCACTATTTTAATAATACCAGAAGATTTAATGTTTTAAAAATATTTTTTTGCGTGAGCAATAATGCGAAGGTCTTATACGTCATCGACCGTGAATCACCCTGTATACCTAGGTCTAAAAGTGAGCTATTATATACTGAGTGATTTTATATAATATAATATTTTTTTGCTAACTTGGATAATTGCCTAAATAGATTTAATTAGAATTTGAATTTTCCATTTATTTTCTGGATTATCGCATTATTTTATAGCAAATCAGTTTTCAAACTGCCGCAATATAATTTATGGAGAAAATTTGATTTCTGTTGGAGATGGTGTCTAGTCTTTATTAGGGCTTCAGATAAAGTTTCTGGGGGGAGACAAATAAAACGATGCAAAGTTTCTACAAATTTTGCTCATTTGTTAATTAGACCCTGAAACTTCTCAGATTATATGTACGTTTACATCACCATTATCATTATTAAATGGCTCTTAAATCTTAGTTGATGTATTATTTATTGTGAGATAGGTTTATTTTAAAAGACCTTTTGACCTTTAGGCCGGTATATATTTGTTAATTCTAAGCTGGATTAGTTTCAGTTCACAATCATGTATTCGACTAAAGCATTTGATTCTTTATTATTATTAATTTCTAGCATCAAATATATTTCTGCACTTGCTACAATGCCAGGTGAGTAACAGCACACTTAAGAAGCTGCTAAAAGCGGCTAAAGTAGCTTTACTTTTTTTACTAAAATATGTATATTTGAATTTTATATTACCTTCTCGGTTTGAAAATGTAAGACAACGTCCAAAAATAAACAAAATGAACGAAACAAATTGTTCAAGATACTATGAAACTTTATAGTTTAAAAATAACTTTGGAAACAAAGGATGATTTATTGAACTCGAAATGTAGATATGGTGTTATCGTTATATATACGAAGCATATAAAATACTGAAATATACTATTTTTATGGGATCCGAATAATAAGATCCTTACTAATATCTCAGTAGTTAGGCACACTAAAAAATATTTGCATTACTTTCCAAATTCGTGGAACGTTCATTATTTTGCTTTTATATTGCAAATTGAACTAAGACAATTATGTTAACATCTTGTTCACAATGACAAGTTCATACTATAAATATGGTAGTAATATATTTGTTCTCCGCATAGAATACGATAAATCGCTTATTAATTGTAAAATGTAAAATTGTTAAATTGTACAAAAATGTTAGCAACTAATTTACTAATATATTTCGGCAGTGGCATTTTCAGACTCTAACTATGTTGTAACTACACTACCGGTTACATGGTCAGAAGCTTATGTGCTATGCCAACAAAACGGAATGAACTTAGTCTCGATAAAAAGCGCTGAAGAACAAGATGCTTTAGCTAAAGCTCTGTCTTTCTATGGCAGTCCAGGTTAGTTACCTATATAGTGTGTAAGACAATAATTTCAAAATAAAAACAATTCATTCGAATAATCCCATAAGCCGAATTTGTATTGTTTGATAATCGTTAATAGACTGCTTCCTTCCTCTGAGTTATACATAGAAATTCTTGGTGCAGGGGATTCTCATAATAGATATTGGACTGCTGGGAGGCGCTTCGGAAGAAATTCCTTTGTATGGTTCACTGATGGCGAACCACTGGTGTACAATAATTTTGCACATGGGGAACCAAACAATCTTAAAGGGGCGGAAGGATGTATCGAATTTGTGAACTATTCGAAAAAGACTAGTAAATGGAATGATATAGCTTGTAGTAAAAAAGCTGGTTATGTCTGTCAAGTACGCAATGTTCTTTGTCAAAAATAGGTACTACAGAATGAAAGCACAATTTATAGTAAATATGTGGAATATACCAGCTTTTCAATTATATTGTTTAATTATTTTTGTTTGTATACTGCTGCTGGTAATTTGGGTGTGCTGTCTAACATTGAGCAAGAAAGCATGCAGTCTAGCTCATTAGTTAACTATTTTAAGAATGCAAGATTTAATGCTTTAGAAATACCTTCCGCGGAAGATATATCATAAAATTATCGAATGGGTATAATAATTAGTAAATATTATCCAGTTTTTATAACATTCCAGCTGTGATTATTTACTGTCCGGTGGCAAATATTTCACATTGTTTTCGGCGGGTTTTGACGGCAAGAAAACGTGTTTTGTTTATCTTGGCTCCTTTCCAACTCCGATCTTAGCACAGGAAGTAATATAGCTTTAAATTCTAGACCTGACCTATCGCCAGTTTCCATTATCCATCTTGTGCAGAATAATACCCTACATGGGTGATTATGAAACACGTAAAAAGTCCATAAAACGACCGTATATAACCGGGAACTTGATAGACCAAATCTTTTACACTGGAAATTTTGAGAAAAACCTTCTATTATGATAAGATATATATTGTATATTAATAAGATTTTTAGTGGGTGATGTAGGTATTAACTAAAATTTTTCATTGTTAAATTAAATTATATATCATATTAGTTAAAATATATTTTTTTAAATTATATTTGCAATAAACTGGTTAATACATCACGACAATTACCGACTTTTATTTGTTGTGTGGTTTTTCCAGTTACGACGTTTTACAGTTTTAAGCCAGACAGTTGCGCTAAATAAGCATACTGCATGAAAACTGTTCTTAGTAGACATTAACATATTAGCAAAAACTCTCCAAGGGCCCAAAAACTAACAAACAAGTTATATTTTCCTAAATGATTATCAAAACTTCACATTCAAATTATTTGCTTATTTTGCAATGAATAAATACAGTTATTGATTGAACTTTGGCCACCCCGTTTTTCATCTAATTTGAAATTTAGAGAAAAATGTTAAATACAAAAGTTGTAGATATTAACGTCTAGTATATTTTAAGATAATACTAATTGATACAGGGTGTCTCAAATGCAAGTGGCAGACCGAACTTGCCTTTTTTTAATGGAATGCCGTACTTTTAATTCTATGCAGAAAAGAAAGGAAGTTTTCCGAAATGTTAACGGAGAGCGAAAAAACAGACCTTATTATTGTTTACAGGAAAATTGGCAACACTTAAACAACTTTTAAGATAGTGTGCAAGTAGATGACATAGGTTTTATTGTAAAAATTTCTCTTCCGCAAATAAAAAGTAATTTTTGTCGATGTAAAATAATCAATAAATGAGAAATAAGGTCAAAATCAAAAATAAGAAATCAATGTTTGAACTACATTTTCTTCCGGTTATCCAACGATTTTAACAGTGTAACATACTCTTCTAATCATTTGTATTTCTACGAAAAGCAACAAAGCAATAACTAATGTTTTGAATGGAACGCCCTTTAAAACGTTGTTAGTGTCAAGTAGCAACTTGACCCCCTTTCCCATTTAAGACTTTAAGGGTGACTACCCGTCCTAGGGGGTAGAAACAAGGAGGCTAAAAATATAAGGTAGAATAAGAAGTAATAATGTAATAATAAGGTAGAAAGTTTTCAAATTAACACCCCCTATATTTATTTCAAAGTTAACAAAAACTTTTGAAAAATTACTTTACAAGCCGTGGAAGCTGTTATTAGACCGGATGAGTAATAATAAATGTATTTAATTAAATGAAGTAACATTTGCCTTAAATTAAATTACAAATCTTAAAAGCAGTGTGCGTACTTAAGTAACTTTGTTGTACTTAAGCTATGTCCCAAATAATTTTACTAAAGAAACCCTATAAAAAATCCAACACTAAACGAAATGACGAAAACATAAAAAGGTACATTATATTAAACACAAGAAAGAAATTAAAATTTTAGATACCACAGGGTGAAACGACAAGTAATTTTATCTGAAATGTTTGCCATTGTTTCTTTTGGAGTGTTCAAGGAAAAAACAGCAAAAATTATGTAATGACTTATTTTTAAAACACCCACGTTTTGGAAATTTTAGTAAAGAAATTTAAGAAAGAGAAACTTTTATTCAAAATATCCCAGCAGAACGAATATCTATAATCAAGAGTTGTGACTGTTATTGTGATCTGCTATATAATCTGAATTTGAATACAATACGGGAACAAATAAAGAAAATCGGATACGCACTAAATACGAACTGTAAGTGCTTTAATTATTCCTTGTTTATTGCATTGAACAATGTGGAATAAGTTTGATAGTGTTTATAAAGTGGCTATCGGGTTGTTTTAAACTCGGTATTCGTGACATTATGGGTTTCGTGCAATCAAATTTATACTGTTATAATATTTTCGCACATTTTCGCAACTGACTTAAGCTACATATTTCAGAGTATTCTGTATGTGAAAAGAACGGGTGAAGAGAATTTAAGTAAGAATTGTTTTATTATAGAACAACTAACTTTTATATCAATACCTTAATGATCGAAATTATTAGGTATTTGATTAAACAAACATATAGCGGCTTATATAACAACTCTTCTCAAAAGCGGTAAAAGTTAAAAATTGCCTGATTAATTATTTGAATATTCAGAACATCTAAATGCCGAATCAGTATATTAAACATGATATAATTTTAGATTTTCCATATTTTATTAAAAATTGATTCTATTGGCATTGGAATTTTAGAACCCAATGTGTCATAAAAGTTTAAAAAGCTACATTTTATATTCCAGTGCTAGGATTTATACAAGGACGTTAATTTTGAAAGCAATCCACATTTTCCGTTTTATTTTATTTTATATGGTGTTTTATGTATATAGGGATAGAAAGTTTGATAAATAAATGTGGCGCTGATCCGCATATTAACGTTGGAAACCCCTTCAGTTGGGGACCATTATTTGGAATTATGTTCTTACTGCCTACTTTAATCCACACCGGCCTTAAGCGCCTGAAATTCATTCGGATTTCCTACGCAAATGATTTGCGAATTTGTTTTCTTTCCTCGCTAATTAAAGGGTTTGAAACAAGCGAAAAGTGTCTGAATTAATTAAAGCTTTCGGCTGTTCAGGTGAGAAATATTCGTTTTGTTGTTGAATGGGATTTTTCCGTCTGTGCAATAAAAAAACTTTTCGTATTTACTCGGAAACTTATTACATTTTTATAGACAAAGTTTACTTGCAGGAAACACAGCGCGTTTCTTAAAATGATGTAATTTTTATGTTTCTTTTTAAAGTAACTCGATTTTTTGGCAAAACTTTGTAGGTGAAGAAGTGTGTTCTGTATTAAGATTTGCAAAATGTAGCAAATAGTAATTGGAGATAATCGCATTTTAGTTTAGTACAATCGCAAATTTAATTCGCTTTCTTTCATTTGGTATGTTGTGAGTCTAACATCCGTATATGCAGCAGAAGTATTTACATTTTTGAGACTTTTTTACAATTAAAACCGCCACATGAATTGTAAATGAAAATGGAAATTTGGAAATATACCAATTTCTGTGGAGATTTTAATGATGTGCAAACAAATCTGCCTCAAATAATTACTGAAAAGTGTAAAAACGAGTTGCGCTACTAATATGTACCAACACAAGGAACAAAGTAACTTAGAAGTTTTTTACATACAAAGTCCATTTTAAATCGAATATTCAGCCCCGAAAGCGAATCATTCCATAGGCTCACATTTGCTTAATGTCCTGCTTTGTACTATTTTATAGTTAATATGTAAGTAGTTTATAATATAATTTGTAGCCATTATATTTTTTTCGGCCTTGGTGCTTGATTATTTGAATAAACAAAGAAATTAATTAATATTTTAACATTTAACACAGAGTAGTTATTTTGTAACATTTTATTTACCAAAAAACATGTTTTTGGTTGTTTCCGCGTCCACGAAACAGTGTGATGCTCTCGAAGGTATCGTCTCGAAGCATTGTATCGATGTTCAGCCAAAGATCAAAGGCAAATCCCGGACAAAAATCAATATGCTTCAACAGTTACCTCGCGCCTCGAGGAAGTTTCCGCTTACTGTTTTGCCCATTTAAATTAAGCACCTCACGAAACATAAAACCAATTACCTTCATCCTCCAGGCCGAATCGGTTGTAGTCGCCTATTTTAAAAACCCGAACGAAAATCCTTTTCCTCTGTCAAACATTAAAGGGCGTCGCGAATCTCGAATTTTGCGCTGTTTTTTGCCTCATTGGACAATTAAACTTTACCTTAATAAACGTTGGGACGATTTCGGGGGGAACGACAATAAAAGGGCCTGAGCCCTTCGGAAAGAATGGCGGCCCAATTAGCATTCTAAGAGCCTAATTTACCGAAATAAATTGAAAATATTTATGAAAGCTAGGGAAATCTTGCTTAACTTTTTGGTAATTATATAACCTTTGAATTTCTATTAACAAAAGTTCAAATTGAAACTTGCAAAACTTTAGGGAAATGGTGAACTGAGTAATTTGCGAGCTTCATCTGAATAACTTAAGCAGGAAGAGAAACTGGAAAGCCTGCTATTAAATAACATCCCGCGAAGAAAAATGCTACTTTTCGCAATCAAGAATCAAGTAAAAATCTTAGGATTTCTCATTTCCTCCCATTTTCACAACAAAAAACGATATAGATAAGTTCTATATGTTGAGGCGGATTCATTTTTTACAAATTTCTTTTTGGGTATTTCGCCTCAAAAATTTTTGTCTTTAAAAAAGACAGAATTTCCTCACGTCCTTTATTACAGATTGATAAATAGTGCTCCTATTTC